CCCAAACAACAGCAAATCCCTTTGATTTACACAGACATGAGGAAACCAAGGTTTATACAAATGAAAGGTGTAAAGAGGAACATACTGGGTCAAACTTAGGACATCTTTCAAGGAAGATGCTGTGAACACTTAGTTTTGAGTCTGCAGCTGAAGGCCCACATTTAACTCCACACAGAATATTATGATGCAGTTTATACGATACATTTTCAAAATGAAGCTTCATTGTACTAAGAGGAAAACACTGGAAAATATTTCATAATGATTATCAGCCTGCAAATGACTGATGGCCCTGACCAATATCAGCTCCAATTAGCAGCCTTCAGCACTCTGAAAGGGTGTTAGTGGAGGACCATTGGAGTTGCGTATCCTAGAGCCCTGATCCATAGTCAGGAGCCTGGAGACAGCACCCTGCAGCCCACAGAGATGACCTGGCTGGGGGACCAGCACAGGATGCTCAGTGCCCCAGCTCCCCACTGTGCAAGGCAGGAGCACTGCTGGCTCTCAGGGAAGCTAATTACAGCAACCCTAGAGCTGCTTCATGAGTTAATCCCCCACATCACCTCCCATGAACTTTTACCACTCTGTCCTTATACATCTCCCCCACTACCCACAGCCAGCTTTCCACGGGCAGAAGCCAGCCCCAGCTGACAGCAGCACAGGCAGCAAGGCAAGTGCTGGGAGTGGCAGCCCCAGTAGGGCTTGATGCCAAGACTTTAGAACAGCAGCCCCTCCTCTGGGACAAGTCACCACAGGAGAAGGAAAACCAGCCTTGCTGAAAAGCCAAAGCCTGAGGAAGAGAGAAGAAAGGGGGCAGAGAAAGGAAGCCATTTATCAGAGCATGCTCAAATTGTACAACCTGGCTTATGACAGACCCTTCTGATGGCCCCTTACTGATGGCTGTCCATGAGCGAGGGACTGCACCGAAACAGTTCTGCAGTATGCATTACTGATTGACTGCTGGAGGCTGCCAGTTTCTGCAGCTTAAACCTTAAATTATATCTATAATGCTTTTACCTTCTGACTGCAGAGGAACTGTTCTGAGCCCGAGCACTGCCGCACAGCCTTACAGAGAGAAGTGCCCTTTCAGCAACAGCTCTAAGGATACAATTATCCTGCCCCCACAAATGGAGCCATGACCAAGAAACTCAAAAGCAGAGCTTTACGTGTCAGTATTTTGAATTGTTTGACTGTCTCTGCAAAAACATATGTTCTTGTACTTATGTGAAGAGCTCAGGATGGAAGCTGGAAAAATGCCTGTGCTAGTACCACCTTCAATTCTAGCTGAACTTCAAAGCCTAGGTGCAGAGGACAGTGACCAGATATCTAAAAAACCACATGGAAAATGTCATTCTAGTTGCCAAGTCAAGTTTTTCCCTTCATCTCTGCTTTTTTACTCTCCATTCTCCCAGTCTTTTCCATCAGTATTGTCCCTCATGTGGTGGGCATTAAAAATAAAAACTTCTCCAGCATGGGATACTTGTGTCGCCCTCCTCACCAGTTTTCTTCTCCATCCACCTTGGCTGCCTCTACCTTCCAAATATGCCACAGGATTGCTCTGTTTTCCATTGCTCTTTGGCCTCCTGTACCTGCAAAATTCTTCCCTTTCCAAAGCACTTTTCCCTCATCTTCTTTCCAAAGATGCCATACAGGACTGCATGAACCTCTCACCTTGTCCTCTGCTTTTCTTAGGGCGGTTGGACTTGCTACTGGAATCCACTTGCACAGACAAGTTTAACCAGCAGGAATTCCTGAAAAGCCACATTTTACTAGGTAGCTTTAGAAGGAACATTTCTCTAGAGATCTTATTTAAAAACACCTTTGGTAACAGAGAAGGGGTCACAGGGAGAACAGAAAACCCTGTGAAATTAAAGCCTTCTTTACACCACTACTGCGGAGGCATCAGTGCAAGAGGAGACACTAGAACTATCTGCAGCTGCACAAGAGCTCTGGTCCAAGAAACTTCACCTGCTACGAGCCAGCCTCAGGCAGGAGCGCTGTACAGTCGCGCTCACAATGAGAAACGCCACAAGCATGACAAGGGGTGAAATGTGAAGCAGCAAAGCCAGCATCCACAGCAGGGCTGCCCAGTTGCAGACCAGCAGGAATTCTGCCACTTGCTCAATGCCAGCAGATATTGCACGTGCTGACTGCCCTTCACTGGCTATGCCTCAGGCAGCTCTCAGCCCCAGGGTGTGAAGGGTCTGTTCTCAGGTGAGAGAGCAGATCAGACAACGCAGCACTGATGCAAGAAGATACATCAAGCAAACCCTGATGCGCATCCAGCTGATTCCAGATTTCTTAAAATGCCAGAAAGCTGCAATGCAAACTGAAGAATAAAAGTGATATTTGCTAGCTTTGGTTTTACTTAGGAAAATCACAGATCTCAGGTACACATATCTCCAGTGCAGAGGAGGCATCAGAAGTTCCCACCTGCACTCACTCCCCTGGAAACAAAAGTCACTACTTCTCACTGGTCCAGTCTTCACACCAAGTTTTAGAAGCTTATCTCTTTGTTCTGAAGGTCCCCAAGCTAACCTATAGCATTACTATTTGATTATCAAATAAAAAAACAAACCCAAACCATTCTTTCTTTGGGACTACATTTAGTTTCTCCACGCAAATTTTCACATCCATGTAACATCACTGGAATGGCAATAATGATATGCTACCCCAAAATATCACAAATATTAGGCATCATTTTAAGAGCCCTGGGAATGATTTAGTAGCACCAAGGGACAGGTCCTGCTAACAACAACTTTAAGAATAGAGAGTCAGGTAAAAGTATGTACTTCTCTTGAATAAATGGACATGGAAAAAACCAACAACTAAAACCCCACAACTCCACTTTGGAATTAACGAGCATAAGAATGAAGTTACAAAAAGAAAAAAGAATATTAAAAAAAAAACCCAGAAGGATAAACTGTACATGGCACCCTCTATAAAAAGACCAAAGACCTCTCCTGCCTGCCTGGGCTTGTTGTATTTCTCATTGATATACACACATTGATTCCTGACTCAAGAGTGACAACTTCCACTCACCACAATGCCTGTATCCCCCTGATCGCAAAGCCAGCCTGCTGCAGCGCAGGAGCCCTCCTGCTTCAGGCTCCTCATGCAGTGTTCACAACCTTAACACTGCTCCTACCAATTTCAAGCAGTTCCATCACTTTCCAGCAAGGAATACGAGCAACAAGCTGCCCCAATCCCATCCCAGTAAGATGGGCCTTGCATCAGTTCATAAAACACCAGGTTTTGAAGAAGTCCTTGCTTTTGACCTCATTATTTAAAATCAGGTACTATCCTCACAGTACTCCTTCCCTTCACTTGTTAAAAAAGTGCAAGCAATTGCGATCAGTGAGCAATAAGGCTGACACTGAGAATCCCCCATAACTGCGCCAGACAGCACCATGCTTCATGCATGGTCCACAAATATGCCAGAGGAACAACAGGCCAAAACCAGAGAGCTCTGCACCAAAGCCAGCACTGAGTCAGGAGCTTCAGGAACTCCTTCATGCTCCAAAAAACAGCTGGAAGGAGCAGCAGTCTTTGACATGACTCCTGGGCAGGAGGAAAAAACAACTTGCCAAGGTCCTGCTACTCCATGCCACAGCGAGATCTGTCAATTCAGCATTCAGCCAAGAGCCAAACTTTGGGATGTCCCCTGCCTACCTCAAATCCTCCCCGGTGAGTGGTTCCAGCAGCCAACCCCTCCTTTGCCAACACAGTCCTTGGCCACACCAACATCTGAACTCTTTTGCAGGCTGCATGTATTTCAAAAGCTCCACGCCACTCAGCCCTGTGCTATTCCTTCCAGAGCAGGAGCACCTTTGGTCCAAAAGCACGTCTTGCAAGAAGCAAACACCCATCACCTCAATACTTTTGTTTCTGACTGCCGCTTGCACTTGAAAAGCAAAAGCGGTTTATACACAATTCATTACAATGTCAGGAGACTCATTTCCCTTTCCACTTTCCCTGCTTATAATCTTGGTCGTTAGACAAATGGAAATTTAGGGGGTGTGAAACCCAACCCAGGCAGTGAGCTTGTGCTCCGCCAGTCTCACAGGGATTTAAACCTTGATGGAAGGACTGGATCCAAGGGACTGCTGGATATTTTGGGCTGGGGATCCTCTGCTGCTCAACAAACCACTGCACGCACCTGCAGTGCTAGAAAACAATCCTATCTTACAGTTAGGCTGGTATTTTTTTAAGCTGGTTCTGCCAGTTCTCCTCCCACTAATGAGAGGCATTAATCACAGGAAAAAGAGGAAGCAACAGTGAGCCAACAATTTTGCCCACAGGCCAGCTTTTTTTTTTTTTTAAGGGATCTGAAAAGGGGACTCTGGAGGCATCTTCCATTTCCCTCTGAAATATAAGCGATATAGCACCATTTGCAAAGAAACTTGAGAAATTCTGTAACTTTAAAAAAAAACAACAACCCAAACCCACAGAGGGAAGAAGGCCCAAGAAGGTGCATCTGGAGTTTTTCTGCGAGTTAGGAGAGCATCCCGGCTGAGCGGTGCAAGGGCACCTCTGCCCGGGTTCTGTGCACGGGGGCTCGAGAGATGCCGCAGGCGGGGTGCTCAGGTCCCCGGGAGTGCCTGTGTCCCCGGGGCGGGGGTTGCCCGTGTCCCGCACGGGTCGGGGGGTGCCCGTGTCCGGGTGGGGGTGGCCCGTGTCCCGCACAGGTCGGGGGGTGCCCGTGTCCGGATGGGGGGTGGCCCGTGTCCCCCACAGGTCGGGGGGTGCCCGTGTCCGGGTGGGGGTGGCCCGTGTCCCGCACAGGTCGGGGGGTGCCCGTGTCCGGATGGGGGGTGGCCGCCCCGAGGGGGAAAAGCGGGCGGGGAAGGGGGGGAGATACCTGTGCCCGCGGGTCTTCAGCGCCGCCCCACCCGCTGCGGGCACCCCTCGGCCGGACCTCCCCCCCGGGCTGGGACGGGTTTCCCCCCCGCGCTCCGCAGCCATTTTCGTGGCCACCTTGGCTACCAGCGAGGCTGACTCACCTCGGCACTGCGGGCGCGGGGAGCCCGCCTCGGCGTCGGGGGGCCCGCTCCGCCCGGGAGGGGCGGGGGGAGCCCGGCTGGCTGCGCCCTCCCACCCCGCCGGCCCCGCTGGCTAGTCCCAGGCGAGGACGGGTCCCGGGGCCGGGCCGGGCTCGGCGGAGGCGGCAGCGGCGGCTCCCTCCCTCCCGGCCGTGACCACCATCTTATTAGCACAGGAAATGACATGGAGAACGGAAGAGAGGGGCGTTCGGGGGCCGAGCCCGGGGACCCCCCGAACCGGGGGGAGGCGCCGCCGGCCCGCTCGGCCCGGCCCGGCCCGGGCCGCCGAGGCTCTGCCGGGGCCGCGGCATTGCCGCTTTCCTTCCAAATACCCGCGATGGGAAAAGAGGAGGGGAACAAAATAATAAAAAACAAACCCCAAAAGCCGCATACAGCTACGGGGGGGAAAAGCACCAAAAAACAAACGCAGAAGAAGCCGAGCAAGCCCAAACCGCCCGCGGTTCCCACCTCCTGCTCCAGAGCCTGCGAGTTCCGCGCGGAGCCGCCGGCGATCAGCGCCCGCGGCCGGCCGGGGGCTCGGGGGGAGCTCTGGAGGACAAAACCCGCCCGGACGGCCCGGGGGCACCGCGCGGGGGGAGCCGCCGACCGAGGGGGCCCGTCGCGGCGGAGCC